CCTGTCAGTTGTGAGTTCTCGTATCCTTTTATTAACTTTGGTTATCAGAATTCGTTCTCACCCTTGCTCTGTTGCTTGTATACATGGACAAACAAATTTTGCCATAATTTGGACGAGTTGTCTTTCCTTACAAGAGACAAGAGATGTACCTTCTTTGTAGCGGCTTGCAGTCAGATCTCCTCACTGCCCTGGTTGGTGGCATTCCATGTTCTCAGGATCTAACCTTACACTGTATCTGTTTGTGATGGATATTTTGCTATATACCTCTCTTCCTGGGGCCTTTTTATTGATTAAATTATCAAATCGGGAACAGTGTGTCTGTCAACGAGGCTTGGCTCGTGCCTATCTCGTTAAAAATAAAAGACATTCAGGGCACATAGCCTAATGATTGTCACCCTCCATTGTCCTGGCTCATTGCATCTACTAGTATTCTGAATACTGTACATGGTTCATGTACAACTTATGTGGTTTTTAGATAATCATAGTTGCCTCACCCCCTCGCAATTTGACTTTTGCAAGTGTTGTAGCATGACTGATGATCCTGGTGGCCTATGACACTATCTGGAGATACAATATTTTAGTCCAGTTGCATTCTTTGGACTCGGACAATTTGTAGCTCTTCCTTCAAAGCTTTCTCCCTGCCTCTTGTCAATATGAAAGTGTTCAACAGAGGAGTGTTTTAAACACTTCCCTATTTCTTGGTTGCACTTGATAGTTTACCTCCTCTCTCACAACTGGTTTAGTCAGAATTTTGTTAACAATTTGCTGTTACGGTAACAATTTCTCACTTAAACACTGGCTCTAGTTTTGGGTGATAAATTTGTCATCCCGGAGGCCCCAGGTCAGGTTTCCAAAAATGGAAAATTTAATTAAATGCCAATATTGGAGCAGTCATTTCCCCCGCACCATTATACAACTGGAGATGAGGAACTCAAAGACGTCCCTGAGGATATTAAATATGTCCTCGAAGCCCAGGATTATTCTATCCTCTAGATTGACACATTCACCCTGCCCCTTGTGATTGTCGCCATCAACCCCATAAAGTAATTCAGATCACATTTGATGGTAGGGCCCTTCTGTCCTCTGTAATTCTTGCCAGTGCCAGGTGCCCCATTCAGGAATGAATCCCCTCTCCATACCTCTGCAAATGGTGTTGGAAATTTGGACATAGTACCTCAAAATACTGTAGTGAGATGTCCCTTTGCCTTCCTTCTACCACAGTAATAAATGGTAGGAAATGCTCTGGCTAGTTTACATATTGGCCATACATACTTAACTCATGAGCACTTAACACTTTGCCCAGCGCTGTGCACACTGCCCAGCACACCCCAAGGTGGGCCAAGCGTTTTGCATCAGCCAGCACCCGTTAAAATGTGTGTACTTTTTTCAGTTTTCTCACCTCGACTTTTGTGCTATGTCGTTGATTTTGGTGTCAAATTGTTCGCAATAAAATGTCCTAAAGGGATATATGCATATAAGGTCAAAATGCCTGACTCGTCACCCGCATCAAACCTGAAAATCGGCCGAGCATTACTGGTGAGCCAGCACCTGCACTAAAATGTGTACTGTTTTCAATTTCCTTACCTCCATTTTCATGCTATATCATTCATTTTGGTGTCAAATTGTTCACAATAGAGTGCTCTAGAGGGGTTATATGCATACAAGGTCAAATGGCCCAGTGCCACATGCAGCACACCCCAAGTTAGGCAGAATTTTACATGTGAGCACGCACCCACTATTCGCACTCGAATATTTATGCTCCTTCCAGTTTTGTCACCTTAATTTTCGTGCTACGTAGTTCATTCTGGTAATAAATTGTTCACAATCAAAAGGCGCACATTTTAAACTAGTCCCATAATGATCAGGAAAAATGGATTTTAAACAAATATTTTAATTATATATTATACTCGGCATATGTTCTCGTCCTGACTGGGTGTATTCATATACGGATGCATTATGAGTAATCTTTGTCTTTTCCTTGAAGATTTCACTGCCATTCCCATAATACTGTTCTACATATGGGTGGGGCGAAGTCTGCTGATAGCAGTGGCTTCTACATTATATTTTTTCCCCAGAAGCTAATATTTTTACCATGGAGCTTTATTTATGCAATTTTGTCAAGTGTCAAAACTGTTGACAAAACAGTGACAAATATTTTGTCAAAATATCAGTCTAAAAGACTGATATTTTTCATGATCAAATAAAAGTGTGTTCTTATAGTTGATACACTTGGTTCTCTCATGGACCTGGAATCTTTTAGTGACTGAGATTCACCATTGGCTGTGCCTCATCTTTAGAAGATTTAAAACAATTTAATTTTGCTAGTTTCCGAGCCCTATTGGTATTGCCTCAAATGACCTCACAGTGGCCCTCTTTAATGACCTAAAGAGGCTGTTTATGCATGTCCTATCTTCCAGAAATGATTTCTTTAACTTGAGTACTAAATTTACGTTCATTATGCAATCCAATACCGTTGGAGTGGTAATATTTAGCTAATGTGATTCACAAATTACAGTACAGTACAGTACTTTCAAATGTGACCTATTCCAGTGACCTTCCTTCCTGCTACCAAAACAGAAACTGGAAAACATCTCTGACTAGGTTATGTAATGGCAATACATGGTTAACCCGTGGACATTTATCGGAAGAGACACACATGCACCTGTCATAATAAAATTGTTCTGCTAACAGTTGTGCAACTTTCAGACTGTCCCAATTTTCAAGATGATCGACAGTTTTGCTCTCCTGCTGGTCCTTTTGTTGTGTGTCCGTCATAAAATCCTTGGTGAATGCAATTCCATTGATTTGTCTTTTTGCTCTTCATTTAGCATCCTAAATGATGTCTAGAAACTTTTGAATATTTGTAAAAAAAAAAGTGCTGTATAGTCTTTTTGACACCTTTTGATACAGTAGTTAAATTATTTTGCATACTTGCCCATTGTGGAAAGATCTGGGGCAATATGGCTTTTATTACCACAGTGTTTAAGCTTTCAATAGAACTATGAGTATTCAAAAGAATTGGGATCTTCCCTGCATTGTACAAAATATGTTAAATGTGTTAAGATATCCTGCTTAAAACTTGAAAGTTACTGAAGAGATGACACTCAATTTCCACAAGTATATACAACTGAGTGAGTGTCAGGCTGGAGGACACAAGACATTTGGGCATGGTTTCTTACAATGTGTCTGTTCATACTGCAGTAAATTGGTACCAGGGGGTTAAGAAGCTGTTGTAGGTTGTATCCTGGAAAATGTCAGTCTTTGACCTAAAGGGACCTTATTTAACCTAAGACGCTTCTTGTCTCCCAACAGTGAGAAACAATTTAAGGCATAAACTCTAAGGAACAGCTGGGACTTCATGAGCAAGAAAACGAAATGAGAGAGTTGTCGCGAGGTTTGGAGTCTTTCATTAACTAGACAACTTATTTCTAAGCATTGCCTCCCCTCTCAGTTGCTCACCGAGCTAACTCACCAATGTGGAAGCACTAAAAGAAGAAAGGAAAAGGACGCTTGCAAGAGCCAAAATCTTGAAGCGGATGATTATGAAGACGAAGGATAAAGAGGCGATCTTGATGCAGGAGAGCCTCGAAGACAGGAATTGGTGTAGAACACCACACCTAAGGTGACATAGCAATGGCAAGGCTGAGGCAAGTGTTGCATATCTAACTGCAAATGTACAGTTCATCCTCCAGAATAGCTGGACTAAAATCTTAGATTGCCAAAAAAATTGGAAGTGGTGGGACCTTCCTTAAATCATGAATAAAATTCAGGTTGACTTAACCTTGGCGGCTCTGAGAGAGGCTTTTGTAAAGGGTGTTTATAGTAAAGTATAGTTCAGGGATTCATAAACAAATGATTGAATCATACATGACAATAGGAAGTCACAAAGGAAGTCAGTGGCTACAAGACATCTGATGCATTGAAGTGTGTGCACAAACCATGCAGGGATTGTAATAAGTGATCATTAAAATGTTGGAACAAGAATGCACAAACAGAAGACTTTAAGAAGGACCAGAAAGCTCTCAAAAACATATCGGGCAACCTCATTGATGGTGAGAGGAAGTTTGCTTGTGGAATGTCAACAGATCTGCCTCCTGTTTCTCTTACGGCTGTCGGTAAACAAGTTCTTGAAATTTGTGGCTGCATTTCATTGAAGGAGAAACACTCCTGTCCCGTGTGACACAGGCTGGAGACAAAACATAAGTCCTAGCCTAGCCCAGGGAATGACAGAGGAAATCATTCTCAGAACTCGAATGCATTATTTATAGGGAAATACAGAATGTATAAGAAATTAATTAACCGAGACTAGAATGCAAGTAATTTTCTAATAAAAAGTAATGTATCTATAAAGGAAATTTGTTGTACAGTCCTGTATTTTATATCAGTATAGTATTATGGAACATAGAAGGCAAATTTATAGAGGATTATAACTAATGCATTACTTGATTAGCATTATTTTTTTAGTGTAACATTTTTGGCATTAGTAAAAAATGAATCATTTTATTGTTGATGTAGCTATTTAAATTTGCACATACAGTATATAAAGAATTTCAGTGTCCTGAAACAATTTAGAGAAGCATGGTAATAATTTTGAATGTATGGATTGTGTCCAGTTAAAAATTTGATATTTTTTTAATGTTTTACTTACTGTTACATTTATTTTTTGGCCTTTGAACCAAAACTTTATCATATCTATGTATCTACCTACCTAGTGTGTTGCTTTCAAATACATTAGGTATTGAATATAACCAACATCATTAACCCTTGCAATGCTCCGAATGCTATTTGCCATTTCTTTCTGTGTGTAAACCGTCATGCGATTCATTCTTAGGGTTTTCAATGCTTATTTTCTATACATGAGCACCTGGATATAGGATTTTTAAATAGGTGCACCATTTAAGGGTTAACTTGATTCAAATATGAGCATTACAGGTATTGATCTGGAGATAAGACTATCATAAAGCAAAGTAAAAGTTGAAATGAATGTTTTTCTTACTCAGATGGCAGCAGCAGGAAGTACTAGTAATGGTAGCGGTGGAGCCGAGGGTGGTGCTGGCACAGGTGCATCTTCAAGTGATGAGAGTAACGAGAGTGATGATTCTGATGGACACCGGGGTGTTCAGTGTGCCACGCATTAGTCTTTCTAGAAATATTGTGTATTTTGAGAATTTGTACTATAATTAAGGACAATGTTTTCATGGAATAATTTTTCATAGTCCAGTTTTCCATGTTGAGGGTTAATTTACAAAATGTGACAGTTTGTGAATATCATTAATTATTGAACTTTGAGGTGTTCAGCAGAGCTACACTACACATCATTCTTAGTATGATGATTTCAAATGGAGTAACAAGTCTCTGAAGCATAGTTATGACTTCCATGGAATATGCAGAGATCTCTAATTTACATATTTGCTAAAATTAGGGATGGCAGAAATGTTGTTTTAACAAATTTGCCATTTTTTCTCCCCCAGAGTGATATAAATTTTGGTTTCCAAACCTCAGAGGAAGAAAGCAAATTGCAAATATTTACCGCAGATTAACAGTGAATATAAATTTACGGAGGTTCACAAGAGGGTTGTAAATTTGTCCAAGATTATTAGTCATAAATGTTAATCCGTGTATTAGAGAAATGTTCTCATTATTAATTGATAATACTCTAAGTTAATTAAATTTCTATTTTTCTAAATAAATACAGTGTAGAATACAAGATTTTCTGTTTATTTTAATTGAAAATCCACATTGGATAGAATTGATTAGTCATACAAATTCTTTTACTTTCTTTTTTAATACAATATTTATTTTGTTTGGAGATGGGCTAGAGGGTGAGGTATGGGAGGGGAAGAAACTGTCCACCACAGCATTTAGGAATACTAATTCAGTATTACATTTCTTTCTTGCATTTTGGGGTTTGTGGTTTTAAAAAACTGTATGGTTTAAACAAAAATTATGGAAAATTTGTAATTCAACATACATTTGTAGCCAGAATTAATATAACAATGGAACATTTTAAAATGTGAATTAAGAGGATGAATATGAATTTACTCGTTTTAAAAAAAATTATTAATGCCAAAATATTTTGTAAATTTATATTTACTGCCTAAAAAATAATAATTTGTTTTTGTTGGTGGGGTCTGATACAGTATTCTGTATAGAATTATATGTATTCAAAAGTTGGCCAGAGATTTGCCGCATTGCACTGATTGAGGTTTCGTTGATTCTGCAATTCTTTTGCATTACTACAAGAGAGGGAAGTTTGAGAGGAATCGGCTAAATCACATAGAGCGAAAACAAGTGTTTTGTGTCTTTTGTTTATAAATTTGAATGCCCAGGGATGAAATAGTGTAAGTTCTTGTCTGAAAGGGATAAGTCTTCTATGTTTGTATTTTATAATAGTCATAGTGCTTAGGAAATATTTTATGCTGTAAAACTATATAGAGCCAGTTAGCAATCATATATCTTCCTATGTTTGGAGATGTTAAACATTTTCAAGTGAAATGGTTTGTTCTATTGTTAGAAATAATTCTTAGGCATAGATTTAAAACTTGACAGATATTGTGGGTAATCTAAAAGGCAATTGAATCATTTGTTAGTTTTATATAACTTTTGAAAGATCACAAACTTAAGGATATTAAATGGTGAACCAGATAACCTCTTATCTCCTCTGATAATGCTCCGTCTTTGATTCAGAAGGTGTGATTTTGTAGTAAACAAATTTGATGATGTACTTCCTGTAAAAATTACTAATTTTAAGAGTTCAACACATTTTTTGAAAATACATGTGCTGTGGCAGGGACTTGAGGCTCATGAAAATATATTACCCAAGGTAATTTGCCAATCTGTCCTCATTGTTAATGCCTCGTGTGCCCTGGGACTCCGCTCAGAGGGGTTTGCTGTAACAAAAGTCACCTCCCCTATACCCTAGGCAGTCCCCCCCCCCTCCCTCTAAACATCATTTTCTTTCCATCTGTTCCCTCTAAGCCCTTTTGGGACACTCTTCCTCCTCCACTTTTCCTTGCCATGAAGATCTTACTCATAGTCAAGTACAAGAGCAGTTGTAAATTATTTATTGGGTTTGGCTGTTAGTGTTTTGAAAGCCGGAGCTTCACGAGAGGGATGTACAACATAATGAATCCTTACCACAGTACCTGTATAGTCATATGTCTGTTCAGATTCTACTACTGGGGAATGTCCAGTACTAGATTATATTGGATTGCATGCTGTCTTGTCTCAAATAGGTAATCAAGCATATGTAATTATAGTATTTATTGAGCCAATTACACACATTTTCAGTATTTGCAGTTCTTGATGCTGAAGAAGCAATTTCTTGTAAACAGTATGCAGATCCTGGAGACATTGTTGTGCCTCAAGTCCAGAGCTAAGTTTGTGCATCTTTCTAAAATATAATCTGTGTGCTTAGGTATAGAAATCACAGATTAATACTGACTGTGATAATTCTTTTATTTCCTTGCTTATAGGGAATGTTTACATGCTGCTGATAGAGTACAACCTTGGACCCATTTCTACAGTTTCTTTAGCTTTGATATGAATACTCAAGCAGGCCAAAGTTCTATCTAATTCACGCAAAAGAATACCTCCCAAAGTTTGTAAAACTGTGAGTGCATATAATGCTGATGTTGTTCCTAGTGTTTTGCAACATATTTGCTTGTTTGACTATTATGCATCTTTAATTCCTCTGGCTGAAATGAAGTCATCTAACTTTGGAAGCGTGTTGGTTCCTGTCTCTGTCATTGTTCTGGAAAGTTAAATGCAGTTCTGCTTATGCTTAGTGATTGATCTTATGCACTTTATATTTTGGAGTGCCTAGAATTATTAATAACCATGCAGTATAATAATTTTTGTGGTATGATAAGACTTACAATGAAGTTGAGAAACAGTTAAGTGGAAAATATTCTGACCGAGTGCCGATTCGTTTGTGATGCGTCAATATTGCTCAGATTTAACTAGATTACATAAAGTTAATTCTCCTGGTGTGTTCAGTTTTTGCACCTAGTTGGTGAGCAAGAAGCAAGGTTTGTTATAACCACCATTTAAAGCAGTGTGATTTCTAAAAGTGATGTGGGTAACCAGTTTTTAGTTGCTATATCTTTTCTAGAGTTGCATAAGTAAGCTCATATAAAACATTCACTTGTGCAATTGATGGATTCTTGCATATTTTTAGTTACGGAGCTTGTAGTAGCTGTACTTGCATATAAGCATACTAAGTTGTAAAGTTATTTAACATTGTATACACTGCAGTATATTGAGTTCATCACTTAAAGATTATGCTTAGTTATCGAATTTGCATATTGCTAAAATGTATGTTTGATTATCTGTGCAGCAGTGTGTGGTCAAATTATTAAAACATATTCTCTATATAATTAAATTGCATAATGTATTACCATCTGATCATTCTGGTAAATAAAATATTAATTATATTATTATAGGGTATAATTTGGTTATGTTTGTTTATCCCTACCAGTTAATTTTTAGTACTTGATAAATCTTAGGGAAATTTGCCCTCCAGTATTTTGAGTCCATATATGTGTTATTACAATATATAATATTAGTATATTATATATAATATATACTGTAAGAGTGTCTTTTTGTTCAAAGTTGGAGACCAGATGCTTGGGGATATCCTCACCCAATAATGCAGGGGGTTAAGTCTGTCCCGTCCCATCTGGGGTACGTGACGGACATAAGCTGGTCAAAGTAAGCCCAAGTTAAATGCTTTAAGAAATATTAGCCTTTATAGACCCCCCACCCCCATGTGATTTTTATGGATTCAGAGAATTATTAGTACTATGAAAAAGTAAATATCAGTGACAGAGATGTAGGTAAAAATAGGGTTGAAATATGTCCTCATTTGTGTTCTATTGATAGATATCTGTCATGTAACAAGTTGATCTAAGATTTCACTTGGTAAACTTTATTCATACTGTGGGGAAAAGAAGAGTATGAATGGTATCTTGAATTTTGCTCAGAACGAGATTTGGAGATGCAACTGTATTATTAAATGCAAGACTTAAATTTAAGCAATCTACAACAGCCGTTGACACTGAAGAGGACTATTCAAAAGGCATAGTCAGGCAAGCAGGACGACATCATTCAAGGTAAATAAAAAATGTGAATTTGTTCCCCTCCTTAGTTACCTCACTGTGCCCCTGGTTTTGGCAAAAACTTCGTAGTGCAATTGTTAATGACATATTTTTGTTGTTTTTCATAAATGTTAAGGTAAAGTTAATGTCAAAATGTTTCCAAACTCAACCATTTTCATTTCAAAACACAAAGGGTGATTAAAACATTAGAAAAAACATTAAAATATAGCCTAATTAAAAAAAACAAATAGCAACTCTCAGAGCACTTAAGGGCACTCTGTGCAGTACAATGGTTAAAGTTTAGTACTGTATATACATTTTGATATTTTGGCTTGGAATACCTTCCCCTGATTTATAGCATTGTGCATATGGGACATCTGTATCAAAGTTCTGAATGGCTAACTTGTGAATGTGATTTCAGTATGCTTCCTGTGCTATTTACAATTAATTTGTCTGATTTAAAAAGGTAGTGTAGTGGTAGTGGGTCCATTACCACCGGTTGGATGGGTATGGGGTCCACTACTGCCCACAGGATGGGTACGGGGTTCACTACTGCCCACTGGATGGGAATGGGGCTCACTAACACTTGTAGGGTGGGTATAGGGTCCACTACCACCATGAGGATGGGTATATGAACCACTACAGCCCACAGGGTGGGTATGGGGTCCATTGCATTGCCAATGCACCAGCGGGCAATCTATATGCAAACTGGTTGAGTAGAAGCATTGCCAATCTCATTAAACTAAATATTCCTATTGTGTGCAATGCATTAGCCAATGCTATTCCATTATATTTGTACTCTGAAATACAGGTGTCTTACATGCCCACCAGCAAAAAGAGCAAGGAAAACCCAGCACTCCTGAGGGCAACACCACTTGAAACCATTGAATTTTTTTTGTTTATAAATAACTTAGGCCTCACAAGCACTATGCTTACGCTGATGGGTCTGTTCAAGTGTCAACAGGTCACACTGCAGCAGCCTGTAGAATATACAAAGACAACATATGTACACAGACCACAAGTGTGAGACTGAATAACTTTTTTTTTATACAAGGTACATTGGGTTTATAAGAGTACTGTACATAGCATTGATGTTTTACATTTTGTAAAGCCACTAACACATGCATAGTGTTTCGGGCAACTGGTTTAGCTCCACACATGCAGAATTGGCTGTATTACAACTTGCCAGTAATGCACTGAAGAACAGTGGAGGAGTAATTTTCTGTGATTCAAAGTCAGCTCTTCAGGCCCGTAAAAATCCACAATGTAAAATAGATACTAGATGCTAGAAATGTTGTAACATCCATTATAAACATTATTAATGCAAAGAGCAAGAGTTTCAGAGTATCATTTGTATGGATACCATCTCACATAGGTTGTCCAGCATGATGACACAGGCAGGGCAGCTAAAACTGCATGTGATAAGCCTAAAATTGAGTTGGATATGGGCATTCCAATCTCTTCTGTAAAAACCGCTATATTTCAGAAAATTAGGGAAGACCGAAGAGCAGCTACTGACACTGGGAGGCCAGAAAGCACAAGTATAAAGAGCTCTGACATGTTTAGAACCTTGAATTATATGTACGGGCAGCATAAAACATCCACTAGACAGTGTGACATTGTAAATGCCTGAATTAGGCTGGGATATCGATATCTATGGCAGGTGACTGCAGGTAATGAATCCCCCAATCGTGAACATTCTAATTGTAAACTATGTGAACAAGAGCTGGGACATGCTCTCCAACACTATCTGTGATTGCCCTGTTATCCGTGACTTCAGACCAAATGGTATGAGGTACTTTGAGCTCTGTAATTACTTCATACACTCAGGAATATTGGAAGATATTTTTGTGCTGTACCCAGACTTTGCTAGTGGGGGCTAATAGATCAGTCTTACATTTCATGTTCTCTCCTCATTCCATGTATGACTGGCCGTCCTGTGAGGTGGGGATGTTGGATAAGCATGTAGATTTTTTTTTTTATCTACACTGTGTGGTCCTTCATACAGAATAGGGAAGCAGCACATTGCTGTGTATAAGAATGTATAAAAAGAAAAGACATTGTTTGAGAGGAGTCTTGTAGACACTGGTAAGAGTAATTATAATATAATGGTTCCATGATTCAGCGCTTAGCTCGTGAAAATCGCGAAGTTGTTGTTTAATCAGAGTTGATTTATTTTTTCTATTGATGCAGGTATTTTCTCCCCTGATTCTCTTTATGAATAACCATCTTGTGAGATGGGAATTTTAGAACTTATAGCTTTTTAATCTACTCTGTGTAATCTTTCATGTAGAATAAGGTAGCAACACTGCCGAGTATACCAAAATTTGTTAAAATAAATATATATATATATATATACAGTATATAATTTATATATTATATATATATATATATATATATATATATATATATATATATATATATATATATATATATATATATATATATATATATATATATGTTGTACCTAGTAGCCAGAACGTCGTACTCGGCCTACTATGCAAGGCCTGATTTGCCTAATAAGCCAAGTTTTCCTGAATTAATATATTTTCTCTAATTTTTTTCTTATGAAATGATAAAGCTACCCATTTTATTATGTATGAGGTCAATTTTTTGTTTATTGGAGTTAAAAGTAACGTAGATATATGACCGAACCTAACCTAACCTATCTTTATAGGTTAGGTTAGGTTAGGTAGCCGAAAAAGTTAGGTTAGGTTAGGTTAGGTAGGTTAGGTAGTCGAAAAACAATTAATTCATGAAAACTTGGTTTATTAGGCAAATCGGGCCTTGCATAGTAGGCTGAGAAGTGCGTTCTGGCTACTAGGTACGACATATATATATATATATATATATATATATATATATATAAACAAATCAGACGCACTTGTGCAGAATAATATTCTGAACAATGTCACCCTGGATATTAATAGTTATTATAAAGCGTAAATTTTCACACTTCAATAAGTTAATATCACTTATTTTGTCATTAACGAGCAATATCTTAAGTCAGTTGAAGCAAATATTTATCATCATCCAGTGTTGTATCAGAAATTTTGGGCTGTTGGGTTTCTTAAGTCTGTTATTGCATATATATTGTAGTTGTCCAGCGGCCGTTAACAGTTCTTGACTGACTGACAATTACTACTTCACTGCTGATTATATTGCAAATGTTGCTCTGATATACCTGTTGTTTTGTTGTAACATTTACAATAGAATGTTGTATTTGGTTTGTGAATTATATTTTGAAATTTACAACTAAAAACATTCAAGCTGGGGATCAATATTGGTTCATTAGAGACTAGTTCGTATCTGAGGAAGTGAAGGAGTGACTGTTGGCTATTGATAGTTGACACACAAGACTCGCAAAATGTTAACCAATGGGGGCGAGTGTTAGGGTGAACGTCAACCAATCAGCGGCCGGGTTTGGTTGCCTGCTGGTTATGAAAGGGAAGGCGAGCCGAAAAGTACTTCAATGTGTTGTACCTCACTTTTGGTATACAGTTCCAGGTTCGTCTCTTGAAGGTTAGCAGTATGTGACGGATCATCCCCCCCTGTCCCTTGTTGCGTCCTTGTCCCTCTTTCCCTGCCCCTTGTTGCGTCCCCATCCCCCCCCCCTGCCTGCCCCTTGTTGTGTCCTTGTCCCTACCTCGGATACAAGACACTCCGTACATTGACAACATCGCACACTAATATTTTTACCACTTCGAACACCAGCTTTCGACGTTTCGCATATGTGTACGTGTTCCATATTAAAACAACAATATAATGCTATTAACAATTAAAATCTTTTATTTAACAGGCATATAGTTATTAAATGAAGTTTAGTGATGTAATAGACATAATCTGGAGTTGGTAAGGACGCCGCCCGCCAGCGTAAACACAACACACCCGAATGCCCACAAACACGTCACAACGCACAAAACACAACACTTCTGTCAGTTTTTGGATAAACTCCTTTTATATTTATTATGTGAGAGTTATACTTTTATAAAATGATAACTATTATAGGTATCCACAAATTACACACTTTTAAATAATATTACAGCAAAAAAAAAAGAAGAAATGAATGAGAAACTTCAAAATAATTGCGCAACATTTTATTCGCAGCAACTGGCGTCGCACAGGGTGGCGGGGCCGACAGACCCCCATCGCTCCAACGCTCAGCGCCATAATTTGCTCAACTTCCCAGCTCCATTGCAGCTAAAGTAAGTCACATACAATATTTTTTCTTTAGTTTCCCCGTGATCAGACTGCATTTTAACAATATAAGAAGAGAAAAAATTTTTTTGGAAAGAATTTATTTCTTGTGCACCAGGGTGTTATTTGGAGACACAGCAGTT